ACCAGATTTGTGCCTCTCTTGCTCAGGCGCAGGCGGGCAACCGCTAGAACTTCGGCGACACGATTTGGCGCATCCGAGCGGCTTGCCATGGATTGGTCGGGTACCGCACCGCACCGCCAAGGCAATCCTCCGCGGCGCATGTAAGTACTGACTCCGCCTCTAGCTGCTCAAATCTATCCTGACGGCGGTTTGCCGGCAAAGACGAGCCCGACCATTGCCCAGGCTCGTCGCTGGCCCGGTGGCTCGCCGACTCATCGTTGGAGGTCATAAAGTGCGACGACTGCCCGCGAAAGGTTGTGCGTTGCGTTTCTGCCATGCCGGAACATCCCGGATGGGTGTTCTTCAAGTGCAAAAAAAGGTGTATGTGTTTCTTTTGATTCGGATGTTCACCGGATCAATGCAAATTCGGTAACTCATTGTTTGCCAATTTTGTGTGTAGGATGGATGCAAGTTTTAGTATTGGGAAGAAGAATACATCGATCTATTGATAGAACGAAATTTAATAGATGCTCAAGCACTCGCTAAGCACTCGCTAGAATAGAGACTACGTATGAGATTAAATGTGAAGCAACATCTGCTTCTTTAGAACCGAAGAAGAAGGAAGTGTGCAAGTTCAAGAAGCCGCAGGTCAACAATGAAGACATGAAGAAGATATTAATCCAACTAGTCGAAGCAGTTATGAAAGTTGAATATCTTTCAAAAGTTTCTAATTGTGGGTTTTTTTTTCTTGTTATTCTAGCAAAGAATTGGTGAATCATGTACTACAATATATCAAAACGTCGTTTGTGAAATAAAAGAAATGTGTTTTCGGCGGTTAAGAAAATGTGCACACAAGCACTACGGCCGATAGTGACGGACCAGATGCGGCCGCGCATTAGGCGCACTGCTAGCGCACCTAAAAAAACAGCCTGACGCCGCCCCATTTCCCTACCAAACGAATAAAATCCGGACGTTTCGTTTCGGGTCTTGGAGTTGGCTTGACCGCTGCGTGCCCTGCTCCCTTCACTTCCACCGCCTATCCTCCCTCCCGTCGGTTCCTTTCCGGCGAGCTGTGCTCTGTTGCATGCGCGAGGTCAGCAAGGTCTCATGCATGATGGTTCATGCAGGGCACTAAAGCGAGTAATTATTAACTGGATCAGCAGACCCCGGCCGGAACGAAAAAAGCGCACTAAAGCGAGTCGGTGGATGTGGATGCATGGAGCCCGCCCGTGACGACCTTCATCGCCGGCGATGAGGTGTCGCCGTGTCAGGCTCAGGCAGGCAGCAAAGTGGATCCATCCAGCTGCTGCTGGCTGCCTCTCGCTGTCCAGCTGCTCGTCTGGTCGCCACGTACGGTATGTACAAGTGCCAATCCACTCCAGCCTGTGATGTTCGTCTACTTTTTCCCGAGACCGTACGATGGTACACGCGGCTTCCAAGCGTTGGATCCAACGACGAATGTGAAGAGGTACAAGACGAATATATGCGTTCCGGAGTGCACACAGAAAAGGTACTAGCTAGTCTAGTTGGGGTGGTTGATCGGTGAGCCGAATTTCCCACCCCCCACCAACCAACCAACCAATGCCCACATTCGTACAAGTGTAGTAACCTGGAACAAAAGGGACACGGGAGTGTTGCTTGCTTACTGGCAAGCATCGATCTCACTAATTAATCATCGCAGGGCCGATTAATTAGTCAAGAAAGTTTTGCTCATCGCGTGAATGCTACGCTGACGCTCGCGTCTCGGCCAAAAAGAAACAAGTCTGTATCGCGTGATCAAGGCCGTGCCAATCAGGCATCAAGAGAGCCCAACCCTAGCCACCCCCCGTCACCCTCCTCTCTCGCTCGCTTTCTCCTCAACGCTCCCGGAGGCCGTGTGGTGCCCGTGAAGGGGGCGGCGGCCGACGATCTCATTGGCCATTGATGGGGGATCCTTTCTGGGGAGGCGGGTGGTGTCCGCTAGACCACCACCGAGCGCGGGCAGCCACGGTGGACTTTCCTGGTCGGGCGGCGGCGCTCGCCTCCATGGCAAGAGGGTCGGTGCCGATTGGTCTCCAGCGTGCTCTCAAGCGATGGTTGGTGGTGGTGGTCATGGATTCGATCCATGTTCAGATCAGTCGCGGTGTGGCCCTTGGCCAGCCGGCGACGCGTGGAAGGGTCAGTGCAAGGCGGCTGAAGGTCCTCTACCGGAGTTCCAGCGGCTGCGTGCGTCTTCACGGCGTGGCTCCACACCAATCCAGTCAACTGCGGAGTCGGGGTGGTGGCGCAAATGCCGATGAAACTCGTGGCGACTTCGGTCATGCATGGTAGACGATGGCAGCGTTTTTTACGTCATTTCCTTGTGGACACATCATTGTTCCATTCTGCATCACCCCGCTCGGGCTGTTCCAGGGGTAGCCCTATATCCGGGTCTCCGGGATTTGATGATGTCGGCTCCTTAGGTGTCGTTTTCCCTCCGAGGGGCGTTGTTCTGGAGCAGGCGCTGGCTGGAGGAGCCAATAGGTGGTGCGGTGTTGCATCTGCCGCATTAACGACGATGTGGCACAACGAAGTCTTGGCGACAGATGCGCGTAGGGTGGTGACGTTGTTTGGCATCGTCGGCTGTTCAGCCTTTTGATTCTTTCTAAAGATGAGACGACGGGAGATGGCGGCGGCGGCGGATTTTAGAGCGTGTGTGCATGCGGTGAGTGGGGAGAGACAATAGAGCCTGTTGTGCTGTCTGCTCGCCGCGGGGCGGATGATGTGTGTTGGTGCGATGTCAGGCACGTCATGAAGCTTTGTAGGTCACTGTAGCGACGGAGGATCGGCAGAAAAAGGTAGCTTTGGATTGATCCGTGTAACTTTTTTTGTCATGTTGAGTACTTGTAATAATTTAATAAAGACGAGTGTACGGTTGGTTGCATGCATGCATGCAGATACGTACAGGTGTTTTGGAAAGAAAAATCTGTCATGTGACATGACCATGATTATCCATATCTTGCAGTGTAAATGCAAAAAAATTAAAGCGAATGATTATGCTGGCGGCATCCTCCTGGTTGTTGGCGTCACCCCACGCGTTCACGTCCACAAGGGAAGGGAGCCAGACAACGCCGGCGACGACCAAGAAGACCCACCCCTGCTACTCCTACTCCTACTCCTGACTGACAGAATTCTTCGTCTTCTTCCTCCTCCCCTCCCCTTCCCTTCCCACTTGCGCGGCAGGGCAGGGCCAGGTCTAGGGGCATCCACCCCCCCTTGCCCCTCCACCTCCACCTCCTCCTCCTCGTCCCTCACCTCACTCGGTGAGCGACACCAGCCGTCCTGTCCAGGGCCTCCATCCCTCCCAACCCAGCTTTGACCGGGCTGCTCCCTTCCATTCCCTTCCCTTTCCCTCCGCCGTCAGTCCGGTCCACCGTCCCCTCCCCCGCCTTCCGCGTGTGCGCGCCCGTGCGCCTATCATCACCCTCCTCGCCCCCTTTCCCCGTCGCTTCCCTTCCTGCCCGGATCGGACCCACGGCCCCGAGGAATCGTGCTGCTGCTCGGGTTTCGCCTCGTCGCGGGCAACCGCACCGCCCCCAAGGTTCGTCGCCGCAACTCATCCTCTCTACTCACTACCCCCGCCTCCGCTCCGCTCTGCCATCCTTCCATGGTCTGAGATCGGCCGCGGTTCGGTTCGGCAGGAGATTGATTACCTAGCAGAGAGGCTCCATCAATTGGATCATCGCGGCCGCTCGCCGGCCTACAGATTCAATTCTCACGCGTGCCGCCTGCGCGTGTGTTTAGCTTACTTCAATTCGGTGTGAAATCAAGGTTTCACCTTCTAGTACTAGCACTAGTAAGATGGCGTGATGAGCTCGGGATGGCAGTGCAGACTCCTTCTTCCATGCCAAGAATTCAGATTTGTTCAACTACGACTACTTGTCATTCATCTGTGCCAGTTCTTGTATGCTCCCGCACGTACGGTTTCGTTTGCTGAATTTACACAAGCAAGCCACGCTGAGAATTCTTGCTACTGTATTGCTAATTCCGTCCGTGTATCCTTACTGAATCCTTACACTGAATCTGGAAGAAACACTGCCTGAAGAAAACAGAGCATTTTTCAGTTCAGAATTCTGTATCCCGTCTTGCCTGCCTGACAGAACAACATGCTTTCCGAAATCTTACTCATCATCCTTTCCCAAACCTGAATTTTCAGATTTGTGTTCGTCATGTTTCAAGCAAAGCATCAAATGATGTTCCCCTGACTAACTGCCGCATTCCATCACAGCAGCAGCGGCGATGAGGTGCCTGCCGTTCCTGCACGGGGACGGCAAGTCAAGGGACGACGACCAGCGCACGGGCCCCAGCGCCGCCATGTCGGCCTCCGTGCGCTCCTTCAGCACCGAGTCCACGGAGCGCGGCGGCGACCCGCGCTCCGGCTCCGACCTCAACTCCATCAACGTGTCCGACATGAGCGCCGAGTCCATCCGCCGGACGCAGTACCCCAGCTTCACCGACCGCCCCGCCAACCTCCGGGTCTTCACCTTCCCCGAGCTCAAGGCCGCCACCCGCAACTTCAGCCGCTCCCTCATGGTCGGCGAGGGCGGCTTCGGCTGCGTCTACCGGGGCGTCATCAAGGGCTCCGACGACCCCACCGAGCGCGTCGAGATCGCCGTCAAGCAGTTGAACCGCAAGGGGGTCCAGGCAAGTTCTCTCTCACAGTCCTGTACTTCCTGACAGTCAGATAGCAGATACGCACTGTATATATACCACTTTTATGCATTACCAAGAGGAATTATAACTCATTCATCGCAACAAATATAATTTGAACTTAAGTTCTGCATCTTTAGACTTGAGATCTTGAAACTAATCCAGGATTCCTGAACTAATTACTTCTTATGGGAAGAATCCATTCAGTAGGCCCTGATTGCTTCCGGAAATGCGGCATAGTTTATACTTGTGAAATTCCTTGCATCACATTCCATTAGTATTATACTTGCATGTTGTTCTAGTTTAGCCTAGGGTATAGTGAGTCAACTAGTGCCATCATACAGGAACAACAGCTAACTGAAGTTGTAAACAAATCGTAGCAGTACTCGAGCAAACCACGGAGCATGTTATACCAGCATTTCAGTTCCACTTGCTTGATGAGTCCCTCTTAAGACACTTGCACTGTAATCTAGCTTGAGCCACTAGTTTGTGGTTCCTAATATATTATTATTCATCTTTCTTCAGGGGCAGAAGGAATGGCTAACAGAAATGAACGTGCTTGGGATTGTTGAGCACCCAAACCTTGTCAAACTAATAGGTTACTGCGCGGACGACGATGAGCGGGGAATGCAGCGGCTTCTGGTATACGAATACATGCCCAACGGAAGCGTGGATGACCACTTGGCAAGTAGGTCAACTTCAACTCTGTCATGGCCAATGAGATTGAAAGTGGCTCTCGATGCTGCCCGTGGGCTGAAGTATCTGCATGAGGAGATGGACTTTCAGGTAATTCATTTGCTTTAGGCTGATCAATACAAAAACTAACTGAATGTGAAACATTTGTCTGGTATCAACATCACTGCTTGATTACATTCAGCAAAATAAGGAACACATGCAGTACAGAAAGTCGCACTCTGTTTACCTGTTTCAATATGCATGCAGGTTATTTTCCGAGACCTGAAAACATCTAACATTCTATTAGATGAGAACTGGAATGCAAAGTTATCGGACTTTGGGTTGGCTAGGCATGGACCACAAGAAGGGCTATCCCATGTCTCCACAGCGGTACGCACATCTACGGACCTAGAATTATTTTACACTAATGTGCTCTGACAGCATTCTGTTACATAGTCTTTACAATTATCGGTCTTGCAAAATGTATGATGTTCTAAAGATGTGGGTACTCATGGTGCCAAGATGTTTCTTTTCTATAACACGGTTCCCTTTTGATAGCAATGAAGTTGGAATTGGAAAATGGATACCCAGTTGCTCCACCTCAAATGGTATAATTGTTTCGGTGTATGCCATTGATACTTAAATGTGTACCTTTAGTTTCTGAAGTTCTCAACAATCAACTTCTTAAATTTTCAAGAATTACAACTGAAGTCCTAGAAAAGAGTGAATACTTCAGCTTGAATAAGCATCAATGACAGCTACAGCCATAGCAGCTTCAGAATGCACCTCTCTTTTTTCATATCTACAAGTGACAAGAGTAGCGATTTTGTGAGCTTAAGCTGGAAATTTTGGCAAAGAATCTGCTGGACATATATTACCATGTCTTAATTGTGCTATTATTTTGTTAGTTGGGCATAGAGTACAGAACCCTGGTTTCATTAAAAAAATTGTATTTTGCACAAAAGACAACCATGTCATTTCTTTTTATGACAGATGGGTCCCGCTGTGCGAGGCTAAGCAGGAGTAGCTCTGTGTGCGCTGCCACCTGGAGCTCCCCTAAAGTGCTTGCTTTAGCCCCCTTTAGAAGTTGTAGAAGATTCTCCATGTACTAGTTTTATGGAGTTTGTTATCTTGTTGCCACTTTGTTTAGTTCCTACTACAACTTTGAACTATAATTGGAAAATGGTATAAGGGATAACTTTTCCTAAAACATGGTTCCTTTTTAATGAAGTTGGAAAATGGATACCCAGTTGCTCCACCTCAAATGGTATAATTGTTTCGGTGCATGCTATTGATGCTTAAATGTGCATGTTTTAGTTTCTGAAGTGCTCAACAATCATATTCTTAATTTTTTGAAAATTTCAACTGAAGTCCTGGAAAGGAGTGAGTACTTCAGCTTGAAGCGTTAGTCAGAGCTATATATGTTTCTTCTAGCAGCTTCACAGTGCAGCACTAGCCAAAATGATATGTCCATTAAAGGAATCATGTCTCTCTTCTTCAGATAAAGCCAACTGCATCTACAAGTAACAAGAGTTCGGTTTTAAAGTATCCATCCTAACTACCATAACAACTAGGGTGATCTGAATGCTTTCCTGCGCCAGAATTTGGCAAAGAACTTGCTGGTATTTTGTTAGGAAGACATTAGTTTGGTTATACCATGCTTTCATTAGTAATACATTTTGCAGAAAAGAAAATCATATTATTTCTTTTTATGACACATGGATCCCACTATGTGAGCCTAAGCAATAGCTACATACGCATTGCTACCTGGAGCCCCCCTAAAGTGCTTGCTTTAGCTCCCTTTAGAAATTGTAGGAGATTCTCCATGTACTAGTTTTGTGAAGCTTGTTTTCTTATTGCCAGTTTGTTTAGTTCAGAACAACTTGAACTTGATACATCTTTGATCGTCCATCTAAACTAACATATCAAATACTCATGGTTCCACAGGTTGTTGGAACTCTAGGATACGCCGCGCCGGAGTACATGCAAACCGGGCGCCTCACCGCAAAAAGTGACATATGGGGCTACGGCGTGCTCCTCTACGAGCTTATCACCGGCCGCCGTCCCATCGACCGGAACCGCCCAAAGGGCGAGCAGAAGCTCCTGGACTGGGTGAAACCGTACATCTCTGACATCAAGCGGTTCCCCATCATCGTCGACCCGCGGCTCGAGGGACACTACAACCTCAAGTCCATGACGAGGCTGGCCGGCGTGGCGAACCGCTGCCTCCTCCGGCTATCCAAGTCGCGCCCGAAGATGAGCGAGGTGTATGAAATGGTGCAGAAGATCGTCGACAGTGTCGAGGTCGGCCCGCCGGAGCCTCCACTGCATTACCATGGCTCGGTGTCCGGACCGGGAGCGAAGCGGACCAAGAAAGGGTCATTGAAGAGGAGGCTTCAGGAATTCAAGTTCGGTTGCCGCCAGATCGTGTGGCGGGGTTGGAAACCTGAGATCATTAAGACCTGCTGAAATGGATGCCACCCCTCCTGCCTGTGACTGTAAGTATAGCTGTTCATAGAGATATAAAGTTCGTAACGGGTGCGCGGTTTGCGCTGCAGCGTGTAACTTTTTTGGTCCTGTAGATTTATGCTTGAGCCGTCTTGTGTTTGTGTATTACTCTGGTCTGAGCTGCAAGGTTGTGAATCAGTAGGTCGTTTGTGATTTTGGTCCAGTTTCAGCCTTCCATCTTGTGAACTCTTCTTTCTAGCAGAGTACTAATCTTGTTTGTGCACAACTCAAAAACTGTCTTTCTTTTCTTTTCTTAAGAACTAAAAAACTGTCATTTTTCATGTGGAAAGGGTTGTATGCAGGGAATGATTCGGATTCAAGCAAAGATGTGACCTGAACCTACTGGATTTCTGCCCACCAATAGGAGGATGCGCCTTATCTCGAGTTGGGCTGCTGAATGATCTGAATATCTGATGCTGGGTGGTACAGGTACATTCCTTTTTTTTCGATAAAGGGTGGATTTTATTGACTCAAAATGGAGCATCATGAAGATACAAACACAATGAGCACACACCCGGCCTCTGCATAGCTAGGATGCACACAGCCAACATCAACGCACACACACAAAAACACGCGACAAATAGCAAAGTCATACAAGACCAAAGCTATGCGTGGGCGAGGAAAAAAGAAAAAAGCCCCAAAGCGATCACATCACGATCGGCAAACTATAACAATGACCATATCTGCACCGACAATCTCATGACGCCACGCGGATGACAAGGTTCTTCAACAGCAACGCCTTAAGGAAGGGAGTGACATTCAAGTGTCACCGTCACCGGATCCAGCCACCGAAGGTTGGAATCTAAGTTTTCACTCTGAAGAATCAGTCCGAACATTCTGAACAATGCCTTCAACAAGGTAACAACGTCAAAACATCGCCATTGTCAGGTATACCCAACTCGGGGCAGACCAAGGCTTTCACCCCAGAGCTCAAGACCAGGTGCTCAAGTAGCACCACCATCAAGGTCATTCATGTGTTGTCGCCGCCACTTTTCCACGATCCCCACAGCTACAAGCGATATGACCGCCGCCACTGCATAACAATTCCTCTGCATCAAGACATCATCCATAGTTTGCATCTCGCCGTCGAAGTGAACCACCATATCTGCAGAGATGAAACTCTAACAGAATCTTTTGATGGCGACAACAATCCGCGGTGAGGCCGCCGCCGTCCTGGATCCAATCCCCAATGACGTAGTCAACTAGGTGGACGCCAATACCATGGGTTGCAGCCGCCGATCATCTGCATACATGTCCACGCATGTGCATTTGTGTATATGCATTCATGCACCAGACCCACGTGCTTCTCCTAATCAAACTCCCAGCCATGGACCTCATCCAGATCGGAGCCGAAAAGGTAGCTGCGAGATCCGGAGGCACCATGTATGGACCGATCGGGAAGCTCACGACATGAGACGACAGCGGCCAGAACAGATCGGGAAGCCAGCAACGACGGCGGCGGCCAGATCGGACGGCGACCACCAGGAGGGAAGAACAGAAGAAACCGGCCGGAGACACCCCGCCGCCGCCGTCCGCCGGGCAGCCGGCCTCCTCCGGCGGCGGCAAGGTCAACGGGGCTGCGAGGGAGGGCCTCCGGGGGCTACGGCGGCGGCGCCTCCGGAGTCGCTGGAAGCGACCCGGGAGGCTAGCGGGTAGTTAGCGGGTAGTTCCTGCCGGCCATCCTTTTTGCTCAGATAAGACCCAGACCCAGATGCTCACATCAGAAAGAGACCTCTTTGTACAACTGGGAGAATTTCTTGGTGCTAGCACATACATAGGGGAGGCTACAGGTCAGCTCGACTTTTCCATCGGACTGTCTACATGATTGATCATTTGTTACCAGAGAACAGATGATGATAAAAATCTCCACCGCAAATAATCCAGCAAAGATCATGCCGGTACCGAAATTTCGCCAGAGGAAAATGAGTTCCTGGTGCCGGTCTCATTCTGCTGTTCCCTTGTTGCTGTAGATTGTACTGCACTGTTGGCTGGAACCAAAGAAATTCTGTTACTTTCTGCACAGTGAACACTTTCCATTCCATCATCAGAACATCTCCATCCTCCCCCAATTTTTCTCCGGCGACATGGTGCATATGGGTGGAGCAGAATTGGAGGCAGATCTTCCTGTGGTGGGCAGCAACCGTGGGGCTCCTTTCGGCTTCGACGAATCGGACCGGTCGGTCGTCCGATTCGCCTGTCGACGAAGAATCGACTTGGCCCCCAGGAACCCTGCCTTTCTCCCCCCTCGTTGTGGACGCAGAGAAGAGGAGGTGAGGTGAGGTCCATCTCATCTCACTCTCATCTTCTGACATCTCATATGCCTGCCCTGTCAAGGCCATCACCATTCCTGGTGCCCATCATCTTCAGAGATTAGCACATGGATTGTGTGACGGTGGTGCATCATCTTCAGAAAACCAGGTGCAGAGTATGTGTGACATGTGGAGCAGATGGTGATCTGCCCGACCTGCCACATGGTTTGCCATTTGCAGCCACTGCTTTGTGCCAGTCGCCACCGATGGCGAGGGCTACCTGCCGAGAAATCCGGCAGCATTCATGCAGTTCCTTTCCTCACTAGTTTATGGCTTTTCTCCCTTCGCAGAAAGTTTCAGAGTTAAAAACCGTCCAGAGGTCACCAAATTTGTTAGGTTCTGAAGAAAGTGAGAAATTTCGGTTCTCGGTCCAATCGCCGCCGCGCCGTCCTCCAACGCCGGCCGTTTCTCCTCCTCGTCGTCGTCGCCGTCATCGACTTTGGATGTTTCTTCATGTAATTAGTGCTATATATAATTTTTCTTTTCCTCCTTTTTTTATTCTGAACCGAAAACATGTCACATTGACATGAACAATGAGGCCCCTCTGACCGAGCATTTTAGGAACGGGACGGGTGATGACTGATGCCGGCCGTGTCGGATCCAAGTCACCCTGACTAAGATCGGTCGCTGTGTGACCCTACGATCATTAATCAATTCGCTTCATTATGAATTCTTCCATCTGCTTTCTTTTCGTGGCCTAACAATCGGTCTCCGTCGTGGGACGATAAAGATTCGGCTATGCGGTTCGAACTGAATTTGTTATTTTTTGAAAGAGCATAAACGCTTGCTCGTGCATGTGTGTGGCCAGTAATAATAAGAAAATAAAAACCATGTGAGTCTCCTGCCACGTATGAAATGAGCACGGAGGCCTCGCTTTCGGATCTTACAACCAGAGCGGCGCACGCAAAAATTATTGAATCTTGCTTCGGTATCCGTCTCCCATTGACCAAAAACGTTGCTTCGGTATTCGTCTCCCATGACCGGTGACGAACGACGGAAAGAGATGCCTAAATGATGAACGGAAAATAAAGTATATGAATAGCAAAGGATGACGGTGGTATCCCGCAAGCATTCGTAGAGAAGAAACAAAAAAACCTTCCCGTCCTCGAGAAGCCGTTTACTAGTATGTGTAGGCGATAGGAGCATCTGCATCGTTTAGTGTTAAGCAGAAGCTATATGTGTGATGGTCTATTCGAAACCGAAGCCGAAAGGCGCATATGAAAGAGGGTAGAAGCTTATATGTTACAATTCTCACTTCATCTTACTTGTACACATTCTTTTTTTAGATAAGTTACCTAACATTGTCTTACGTCTCAACTTCCATGTGCTTCCATGAATGAAATAGAAGTGAAAGAAAAAAGAGTCATTTGGAAGAGACCAAAGTGGTGTATCCACTTCTTTTTCGAGGTTCTACCACCAGTCAGACAGGGTCTGGCAATACGGGTTACACTATAGTGCTAAGCTTTTTGCCAGAAGTCTTACATCTTGTAACACTGCTACAATATTTTTCTTAGCACTTTACCCATTGTTCAACACCTTGAGATACGGATGCTCTTAGATACGAGTACACACACCAAGGATATAAGATTATTAACTCGGCCCCTCCGTCCACCGATAATAGAGCTAATATTTTCAAAGAGTAATAAACCAAGAAAGCAAAAAATTCAACCAGTTCCATCAGTTCTATTGCGAATTTGCCGGTTACTCTCCGGCTCCTTGAAAAGAGATATGACAAAATAAAGAATAAAATAGAAAGTATACTACATAACTAAGGAAGACGGCGGTGGGCCACAAGCAAGCATTCGTGGTGGAGAAAAACTTCCTGTCTTCGAGAAGTCATCTAGTATGGGTGATAAGAGTGTCCACATCGCTAGGTGTTAAGCAGAAGCAAAATATGAGGTTGTCTATCATAGCACATACTATTCAGTATTAGATAAATTACTGAACAATGTCTTACGTGTCAACTACTATGTGCTTCCGAAGATGGAATAGAAGTAACATAAGAGTTATCAGGCAGTGAACAAATTGATGTGTCCACTTCTACCTTTCCAGAGGGCTCACCTCATATTTCTGACATACGGGTTATAGATGCTTTATGGTCTACTTTGGGTCCAAGGTTTTCTGCCACTGGTTCTTTGCACTATGTTGTTGTCAACGCCATTTTTCCTTATTGCTTTATCCTCTATTTAGCATCGAGATATAGATGATCCTAGATACGACGACCCACACCAAGGTTGTAGCCGCAGGCCCTCTGTCCGCCTATAATCGAGTTCATTATTATTATTTTGAAAAGAGAGCAGAAAGCCAAGAAAGTAAAGCAATTCAACCAGTAATCCATTGTTTTACAAGTTCATGGTGTCGGTCACTCTCAACCTCCTTAAAAAGATTATCATCCTTTCACCCTAACATTTAAAATTCGACATCAACCTTGAGTCTAGGTAAAAAAAACAAGAGAAATTCGGGGATGTTCATACATATATATATTGTCGGCAATAAGAAAATAAAAACCACACCATTCTTGTGCCACATATGAAACGATCATGGAGGTTTCACTTTTGGATGTACAACCTCAAAGTGGCTCACGCGAAAATCATTTAATGTTGCTTCGATATCCGTGTCCCATGACCGATGATGAACGATGAAAAGGGATGC